CTATAGCAGACAGATCAGGCAATATATTAAATCTGTACAAGTTATCAGCAAGCTGACAAATACATCCTCTTATAAGAAAGTGAAAATACTACATATCAGAACAATTTTCACCTCATGGCGATTCTTCTGTTTGTTGCGGAAGAAGAAAGGCATTTTTTCTCCTGACTCCACTTTTTTCCACTCTGAAGCCTTTATGTAGTGGTCATCCTTATTATCCTTTCTTCTGCCTGGCCCAAAATATTCAAAATATATCAAACATCACCACAATTAAATAATGAAGACATGAAACAGCAATTTGGGAAACTTGTTTATCAATAAATTTATGTAACATTACCATTTATTATGAAACAACTCAAGCATATACCATTTTAAACTGGTTTGGATTTTTAAAGACCTTGATATTAATTGACCAGTTCTCTATAAAAAGTGAATTCAATTTAATATTATTTATATGTACATGCATTATTATTACATTATTGTCAATATGTAATTCAGGCTATCACTCAGGATGTTCTATATTTCCATTGGTGAACTCTTCAGATTTAGAGGCCCGTTTGGTTGTCTGATTTGTCATGGCATGGATTCGTGGATAATACAAAACATGCTTATCTCAATTAAATTTTAATGATAAATGTATTTGTCATTAAAATTAACGAATAGAAGAACTAAAAGGCGTATGAAAGAGAGCGAGATCCCCAAATTTATCATCCATTTATAAAAAAAAATATGACATTTCTGAGGCATGTGTATTGGATTTAGATGTAACTCATGATAAAGAGAAACTTAAACTGATATCATTGTCATTTCTACTCTTGATGGATACAAGTCAACAAAATAAAATATTTCATTTGCATTTTGTTAGAATTTGCTCATTGTTACCTGTAAGTCATATATGGTATAAAAAGAGTTTCTCAATTGTAGTTTTCAAACAATAAAACCCCAGTCGACTCCCTTAAATTACAGCCTGAGTGCATTCTTAAATAATTTAATTAAGGCTGTAATGCACTTTTTGACTGACTGATTTTTTTTTGAATTTTGCACAATTTAATGTAATTTTAATTTTCAGGTGAAATTGTCTTTTTTATACACTAGCTTACATCAAATTAAAAGGAAATTCAATGAATTTGATATATCTTACCAAGTTATGCGGTATAACCTGGGTTTGAACAGTTTAATACACTTTTTCACGTAAATTCATTCAAAAAGAAATTTATATATATATTATACTGACTTGCATTTAATTAGAAACTAAATGAAAAACAAATATTATGAACATTGTATGCTTTAATAATCAACAAATGGCAAAATAACAAACAAAAATTCTAAGTCATATAGATCCATGTCTACATTTAAAAGAAAGAGTTTCAATAAAATTATATTCAATTATCATACATATGCAAATCTTATCATGGTTTATAATCAAATCTGAATTGAAGCACAACATTTCATTACGGTTAACTAGCTGCAGATCTGTAGCTCTCCGAAAAAAAATATATTGATAGACCGGAGAGCTACATTGAAAAAACTGTATATTGACTTCCGACATCTACAGATCTGCAGCTAACAGTTAACCCGCTGTTGAATGTTTCATTTACTGGCAAATAAATGCATTAATTATCTAATAATTTCTTAAACTAAGTCTTGCAATCATATCTTTTTAATATCAAGTTACAATATTACAATAAATGATTGTATAATCAAAGTACATTCCTAGAAATGTGTATGGGGAAAAATCGTTCATTATGCCGAGTTTTTCAAAGTTTCTATCACCAAGTTACGAAGTAATTCACATGTGATAAAGTAAATCCCATATGACACGTTTGTTCATAATGGCTCTATCAATCACATACAACACGTTTGTATCTGTATTTATCCACAATGTATCTATATTTATCCACTATGTATCTTCAGCCTCTGTAGATGTCAGTGTGTGTTGTTGTTCTTCATACAGGTTACGGGCGTAGTTGATCTGTTGACTCACCTGACAAGAAATAGAATACAGTTAAGCATACTGGTAGTGCTCCAGCCTTCATTGTGTTAACCTGCGTTTCCAATATATAAACTTTTTGATAAAATGTACTTTTATGTCCCAGTCAAAGTTCCACAGTTTACAAGAACTCTGTGGTTAACACAGTTTTTCATTACCAGTAAATATGGCCAAATACAGACAAGCAAATCTGCAGTGTTTTCATTTATATCCAGGTATATGTACATTTTAATACATGTAATCATGATTCTCGAATAAAGCCAATAATTAAATGATCTGTTTGTCGCACTAACCCTTTCCGTCATGGTCTGTCACACTAACCCTTTCAGTCACGGTCTGTTTGTCACACTAAGCCTTTCAGTCATGGTCTGTCACACTAACCCTTTCAGTCACGGTCTGTTTGTCACACTTACCCTTTCAGTCACGGTCTGTATGTCACACTTACCCTTTCAGTCAGGGTCTGTTTGTCACACTTACCCTTTCAGTCACGGTCTGTTTGTCACACTTACCCTTTCAGTCATGGTCTGTATGTCACACTTACCCTTTCAGCAATGGTCTGTTTGTCACACTTATCTTTTCAGTCACGGTCTGTTTGTCACACTTACCCTTTCAGCCACGGTCTGTTTGTCACATCTTATCTGGGGGACCCTCTGTTGATCAGAAGCTGATGTTTGTGACCTCACAAGCTCCAGGTAATATCTACCCTCTGTAAATCAACGAAGAAAGATACAATCATAAATATACTTTTCAAGACATAACAGTAATGTAATTCTGTTAAAACCATTTGACGTGAATAGCCCTCGTCACTTACTGATTTCCACCACCAGACACTGGAACAGCTCTTTGTGGGGGACCTTCAGAATGATGTTCCCAGAGTCGGCCTCACCCCCCAGTAAGAAGTACACCTGTCTAGAGGTGATCAGGGACATCAGTCTGTCTTCTCTCCTCAGCTGTTCTACAGCTATGAAGCTACAACCACCACACAAACAATTTAAAGATTTTATTACTTTCTAAATTTACTAAGAACCATATTTTACAACTACTTTGTTTTGTTTCTTAATTTTCTTTCTGCTACAAACCAAAATAAAAGTTCTAAAATATGATTTCCATATGTACACAAAGGAAACGAAAAGAACATTTTTTTTTAAAGAGTGATATATAAAATATGTATTGACTTATTACGATCAAACTTTACAAGGAAAAAAACTGTTTTTACTAGTAGATTTTTATGGTATCTAATAATTACAATTCCTCCAGGTTCTTCTTGTTGAGATCATGCAGTAGTTTCTGTGACTTGGAGTCATTTTGAGAATAAGGAGGCAGCAGCATCCCCGCCCCATGACAGCACCGTGGGAGTCGGAGGGGCGGGGGACTGATACGAGAGCTGCTACTGCTGGTGTCCCTGATAGCATTAGCAGCTCCCGAGGCAAGGTCGAGTACTCCCACTACAGGCTTAGTCACCGTACCAATCACTCCCTTCCCTATCCCTGTCACAAGGCCCTGATAACACATAAAGCAATTTACAGCTGAAAAAATCAAATATAATTTTTTAAAAAAATTCTTTTCCCTTTTCTACTAGTCTTCAATTTCTTAAAATTTCAGAACCCTTTGAATTTCCTTCAATGAATTACCTCGATACCATCTTCCTTGAAGCCGTCATAGGGCTGAGTAAATATACTGGTCACAGCACCAAACAGTCCATTACCAAAACCTTTCACCCCGGCCAGTATATGCCCCCCGCTGGACTGGGCACCGGTCCTCAACTGCTCCCGTCTGTCCTGGTAATTCTTGTCCATGTTCAGTGTCCCAAGTCCATCAGATAGTGATCCTACAACCTATAAACATCAAACAGCATAAAACACTTTAAAGAAATCATTTTCAAAATCTATTCTAAATTGCTGATTCAAAAGAATATTAACCACTAGGAAGTCACATGACAAATGCACGGTCTATATGTAAAAATATTATGACACTTTTTTAAATTTGAGTTTCAACACTTTGAATAATGTACATTTAATGAAAAATATTGTACAATTTGAACATAAACAGTAGCATGTACTGCTTATCAAGTTGCAAACTAAGCTAATTACCTTGGCAGCCGAGTTGGACACTCCATGTGTGACGTTCGTCAGGAGACCCCTCACATTGCCATCATTGATCAGACCTGAAATTCACTCTGTGACATCATTAAACAGACCCAGGGGATTCCCAAGGAAGTCCACAGAACCCAGGATCTTGGCTGCCTGGCTCTTCAGCTCCTGTCAAACAAGGCAATCCATACAATGAACATTATATAAACATCTACATCTACATACTGTAAACCAATTTTTATATGCGTCATTTTTTATTCGCGACTGACCGCTAGAGAACTAATCCGCGACGATTTATTTCCGCGAACAAGTTGTCACATTTTTTTTTTCCACAAGTATTTTTTGTATCAAATTAAAACCTTATATCCACCCCTAAACTAGGTTAAATGCTACCATGAGTACTGCTTACGCATTATTCAAGCCAAAGGGTAATTATTACAATTGGTTTGGACAGAGCAGGGCTGTGTCATAATTAACCGTAATTACTGTATTAAACCAAGCTTTCTCTATCTCGTCTGTGACAATAAATGAACAATAACACAAGCTGATATAATTATTGACAGTTTTAATCATTTTTAGACAAAAAGTTTTAGATTTACCATTCGTTTTTATTTTTTTACTGAATGTTTGTAATTAAATTCTAACTGCTCCTAGTGCAATGAAGTTCTTCCGTGATTACATATTTAAGTGTCGGGATCAATATCGGCATTCAAAAAAGGGCAAGTGACTCTAATCATAACATGGAAATTATAATGAACAACTGGTTCGCGACAATAAATATCCGCGAGCAGAGGTTGCTCGTGGAACTCACGGATATTTATCGCACCAATATATACTTGGTTTACAGTAATACGGTGTTCCATCAAACTTGATGAAATACTATACAAGTGTAAAACACTGGATTTTGTTTGAAAACTTCAATT